ACATCCCACTCTGTTTATCAATTTACATGTATGTGTGGAGACACGTACAGAGGGAAGACCCATCGGTCTCTGCAGGCCTGGGCTACAGAACACATTCCAAAGTGGCTGCAACAACAAATGAATTCGCCAGACACAATTTACCCCGGAAATAGATGTCCAATATCATCTATAGCGAAGCACATTATAGAGACAGGTCATACGGTTGATTTCAACAATGCCTTTAAGCCGATATATGAAACAGGGTTGGGCCACATACTTAAATTCATTGAAGCCTTAGCCATAAAGAGGCTTAAACTTGTCCTATGTGTTCAAAAGTTATGCGTTATCACCTTAAACCTGCCTTGGTAATCCAATTTAGAACCAATTTACTTCACATAATATTTTCAACCCCTTCTTTGCCTTATTTTTCTCTTTTTCTCTTTCTTACCCACACCTTTTGCGTCTCCTTACCCATTATTTGTGACCTTAACCTGTACACAATCTGACCTGTATTGTATTTGGATTGGACACTAGTAACTAGTGTGACGTGTCTAGTCCTTTCTTTGGTGCAAACTGAATTCTATTAGTCAGGTTTTGTAATGTAGCCGGCATTTCAGGTATCTCGCCATCACGGTGCACATTGATTTGATGATATTAGATGGTTCGAGGCAATCGGGAGGAAGCCTTGGACCTAGGTTTCGTGCTAGCTGGTACTCATCAGCAAGGCGTATCTGCAACCTTGAAGGAACTCATGTCCCTTCTGAGATTCGAACCCTCGTCACCCAGTGCTGCAGTCAGAGATGTCAGAGACACGTCACACTAGTTACTAGTGTCCAATCCAAATACCCACTACAGTCCTACATGAGGTCAGTCACGAGCCCGAATAGCTCAGTGGTAACGTCTCTGACTGCAGGCAACACTGAGTGACGTGGGTTCGAATCTCAGAAGGGACATGAGTTTCTGGAAGGTTGTAGATACGCCTTGCTGATGAGTGCCAACTACCACTAAACATAGGTCAAACAGTTCTTCCTGCTGATTGCCTTCAACCATCTAATGACCTGTATTGTAATTATTCATGCCTTCTTGCCTTCTATAAAAAACTGTGTATGACAAGTACGCGTGTGTGTGTGTGATCAGAATGTCCAAAATGTGTTGCGCCAATACATTCCACGTTTCAGATAAACTACGTCTTCTTATTGTGTTGTCGAAATTCATAAAGGGAACTAATTGCTACAAACTTTAATCAACTATATGTGCATGTATAAGTAAATTAGTCAAAATAAATTATTTTCAGTCTAATGTCGTCCTTAATTAATTCTTCAACTATTTAATAAGTTAGTTAGTTAGCTAGTTAGTTTATGTATGTATCGAAGAGACAGACCGTCTTTTCCTAAAGACAAATTTATTCACATGAGAATCAAGACTACAGGTGAATAAAGGCTGTAATAATGAAAATAATAGCAGCAATAATCAGAAGAAAAATGCAAAAGAATCGTAACATTAATCGTTTGCTTTATTGATCAAATATTTTATTCTACAAGACTGTAACCTAACCGGGGGCGGGGGAGGGGTGTGTTGTTGTAGCACCTTGACTCTCTGGCTGTGAAACAAAACGATCAGGGGCAAGGAAAAGAAGAAGATGATGATGATGATGAAGGGAATGTTACATTTCTTTCGTTCAAATATAAGAAGATAAAAATAATGATAATAGAGATTAACTATTATGATCGATTCACATATTTAATTATTTTTGTTTATTTGTGTATTCTTTCAAATGTTACTTAAACGAGATAGAAAGAGAGAGGAGGGAGATCCAGAGGAAGAAAGAGGAAAGCTTTCCTCAGAAGCAAATATGTTACAACCATCTGAATGAAAGTTGTTCATTAGATTTTTAATACAATGGACGGTGAATTTGTTTTTTCATACTTTCACAATGACGAATACTCACTCTCTTTCACGAGTGTGTGTGTGTGCATACTTGGAGAATTGTGTAAACTGTGTTCCCGGTTTTCGCTTCCGTTTTAAACATGAACTGAAATGTACTCAACATATACAGAGACATAGAGGGAGGTAAAAAGAGAGAAATTTGAGAAATCACTTTCTGTGTGTTGTGAGTTTGTGTGTATGTGTGTGTGGATGTTTTTATTTATTTATTTACTTTGTGTTTTGTTGGAGTCAGGAAATTACTTTTATGGCTTATTGACACGCTTGTTTACCATCTTGTTATTCGAGTTAATGTTGTGTTGTTATCATTATTTTTGTTTACTTAACTTCGCTTGACTTGACTTTATTGTGGGGGTTATGCGGTGCGTTTACCGAAATTCAATTGTGTCCTGTAAGATATTATTAGATGGATGGAGGCAATCGGCAGGAAGAACTGTTTGACCTAGGTTTCGTGCTAGTTGGCATTTGCCAGTCAGCAAGGCGTATCTACAACCTAGAAGGAACTCATGTCCCTTCTGAGATTTGAAGCCATGTCACTCAGTGCTGCCTGCAGTCAGGGACGTTACCACTGAGCTATTCAGGCTCGTGATTGACCTCCTGTAGGACTGTATTGGATACTTTCGATTGGACACTAGTTAATAACTAGTATAATGTGTCTAGTCCTTTGACCAGCCACCTAGAATGGTGGCCACATTGCTAACGTAACTGATAGAATTCAGTCTGCACCAAAGAAAGGACTAGACACATTACACTAGTTACTAATTAATGTCCAATCAAAAGAACCTGTGGGATGTTAGTTAGGTGGAATAGGGAAAGAAGTGTATATTCAAGCAGATGCTTCTATAGTTTGATATAATGGAGAAAATTTGTAGCTCAAGTGGATGATTTTGATGTAGTTGTGTCCTGTGAGATGAATGGTTTACTTGCGAAACTTTCATTGCGTTACTACACAACATCTTCAAAGCATACTTCAATCTGAAGTGAACTTTCAAATTTCTCAACGAGTTTATCAGTCATCCATCTCTCCTGGTCATCTTGAACGTAATTGGTTGCCTTCGTCTGTTTTCACACTCTCTAATCTACTTGTTTATTGGTACTGATTGTTTCTTTGGCCTGAAGTTTGACTTTTTGTGCATGAGATTTTCTTCTTATCGATCGGTAAACTTTATCTATGTCACTGTGCCTGTTAATCGCTGATTCACTGGAATAACAGGCTTCCGAAAATTCTCTGGCGTCTTTCAAAGAACACTACATTGACCAAAGTGGACACCTTCTTTGTGTTCACGTTCATGAACATAAACTAGCGGTCAAAAGACATGATATCCACTCCCTCATGTAGCTACATACTGACAATCACAGGCATCCATTCGACTGGTACAGCGTTCAAATATTAGACAGAGAAAACACCAAGAATGCCAGAGAATTTTCGGAAGCCTGCATACAATGCTAATAATAATCACTTTGTCCGAAACAACAATAATCATACAGAATGCAATCTTTCGGCGTTACGTAATCAGATGAAAGAGAGAATGAGAACATCCAGTTACCAGGGCAAGGAAAGACTGATAACCACTTCTTTCTGGACACATAAATAGGGTTTGATGGAGATTGCTTCGGTAAACTCTTTTGCCTATTGATAATTTTTAACGATCTTACTTTATTCAAATTCTTTGCTTCCATAGTTGTTGACAACTGTGGGTAGTGACTACTGGACCTATTGATACATTCATATAGTGTAAGATATAAGGTAACACTTGTGTTCATAGGAGTGGTGTGGAATTTGGTGACTACAGAGTCAGAAGAAAGTGGAACTCTTCTTATCACAGATATCATAGGCGCAGTAAATTATAGTTATGTTTAACTAAAAAAACACTACTGTAAAAAGGTTCAGAAGAAATCAGTGTAAGAAAAGGTAGAACAATCGATATCGTAATATATTGTTGATTATTATTATTCCCTTAGGTTCTGAGTGGGACACAGGGCTTCAACGGAACATTGTCATTCTGTATTGTTTTCTGAAGTCCTATTAAGCTGGCTTCACGACTGCCGATACGCTCTCATCTCCTCACACAATCTCCTCCACTTCGCCTTGGACTCCTAACTCATCGTTTCCCATATTCGGGTTCCATTCGAGAGTCTGCCTTGAGGGCATGATATCACTCGACGGCCTACTGAGAATATGTACCGTCCATCTCAATTCCCTCCCGCATATTTGTTGAGCTAAAGGTTCTTGGCTTGTCAGTTGTCTACCAAAGTTCCTTGAACACTGATCATCCTTTCTTGATGGCCATCTGATCTTCAATATTGAACCAGTAAAGGCAGCTGTTGATAAAATTGTGAAATCTATTGCAAATGCTTTTGGTGACTTTGGCGCTAATTCTCTGAAACATATCGAAACACTGACTATTTTGAAATTAGTGTTAAAATTCAAATCTTGTTCTTTACGCTGAGTGCAGCGAATTCCCATGCTAATTCCAGATTAATGGAGGTCGGTGTTACTTTTCCGATCCTGGCTGACTTTGGCATCCCCATCGGTGTCACCTACCTGCAGTTGAAACTATACTGTCTACGTAAGTAGAACAGTTGACTTCCTTCAAATTTCTCATGTTGTTGGTTACGTATTTTCACCACCTTCATCTTTTCTATATTCATTTGAAGTTCTGTCCTCATTACATCTTCCACCAAATTGATGGTTTTCGCCTGTAGATCTTCAAGTTTGTGTAGCATCAGAAAAATCACATGAGAAGTCTAGGTCTTCCAAAGTCTCTTAATCGATCCAATGGATATTCGTTTCTTTGCTCTTCAGGCTCTGTTGCATGATCCCGTCCATTATAATCAAGAACATCATCGGTGATGTTAACACTGTCTTCCTCCTTTCTCCACTTCAAAGGCGTCATTGAGCTTTTCTTTATAAATCACTTAGCACATATAATCATCATAAAACTGTCGGATAAGGTTGATGTAGGTTTACAGCACTACACTCAGTGATGTTGAAGCAATTTCTAAATTTTTTTTGACTTTCAACGCAATCTGAGGCCTTTTTAAAGTCAATGAAGTTAAGGCAGGGTGGGTTTGAAATAATCACTTATGGAAATTGTTAGTTTGTGGAAGTTAGCAAACGAGTTGTTGCATAATCAGTAGTTTGTAAGATAATTATGATAAATAACAATATATGGGGTCTCATATAAGAAAACCAAGATACCAATCGGTGGAGTGAATTACCTGAAATGGTAATCATAATAAATTACTGATAACAACAATTTTCAAGTGTTAGTTTCTAGAGATTTTTCTTTGATCACAGCTTGATTCCACACCGTATTTTTCGGTACAGGTATGGAATTTTCAGCATGTGATATCGGTAGCCCGAATTTTGCAGGCCGACCATAGATATCGGGTGTGCGTCGGCGGGGGATCGAATCCCGGACCATGTGCATGGTTGGCGAGAGTCCTGACCACTGTGCCATAGACGCACGCTATTGATTAATATGAGTTGGAGAACCATTATAGCTGTTGTGTTTGACTCCTACTGTGGTCATGGATGTGGACTGATGAAGAGTCCCAATTCGAAACGAAACAGATCTTCAGTGGTCCAGGGTTTTCAATGGTTCTCTAACTGATATCATTACGTGATTGGACTTGATAATAACAAATTCAAACTGCAGTTACAATAATAGGCGGAGAAGTCATACTGTAACACAGGTCACATAGTATGTGAATTTCTTTGCAACACACACAGATTTGGCTTATGTAGACGAATTCTGGTTACCTCTGCTGCATGTGAAAGTTGGAGTCACTGAGCATCGAATATAATGCGATAAATGACTCTGAAAGCTGTGCTGGTGTTGACGAGGTGAGCTAGTATTGAGCTATGTATCACTCTATTCCATTCCTTGTCTAATTAAGATGTGTGATATTCGGAAATTCGATGGTACATCTGCCTAATAGCACGCCCCATTTAATCTATGTAGAATCTGGACACTGTAGTAACATACAATTTCGTAATAATTTGTTTATTGAATATACCGCATCAGGTGAAATTTCAAAAGCAATTTATTGTTCATAATTATAACAATTATAACTACACAACTTCGCAACTTGAGTTATATAATTCTCTTTCTTCCTTCCCAATTGTCTTAATCACAGTAGAATTTCCCATATGTCTGGGACAGGTAGTGAATCATTCCAGCTGCACGTATCGTCATTTTATTTAATAAGTAAAGCTCCGATTATCAATCTTCTCCTCTACCCTATTTCACTTAGTAGGAATGTACATTCATCACAATTCTCATAAGAAGCTCCTTTACTGAAGGCACATGAATACAAATCACTATACCTTCGTCTATCAGTTCAGTACATATGTAGTCTACTGTTTCCATCAAAAAAGACACACTCAAGAATATCCTGACGGTTTGGTTCACCTTTGAATCCCTGCTTGGCTCCGCAAACTTAAAACTATCATTTAAACCGTGTTTTACAACCCTGTTTCGTGATGTCTGTAAACGTTGTACCAGCCATTTCACCGCTGCATGATATAATGAGCTATATATATACCAAGGGCTGGTCTAAGCGGAAAGCACTTCGTATAACCTGGTTGTCACAGTATTTACCGTTTTCGGTATTTCCTACAAATCTTCTGAAATGTAAATTTTCCACTTCGATTTTTCAACTAACCCATTAACTGTTTTCCATTCTTCTCCTTTATGTGTAAAATTTATTTTAATAAAGTCTCACAGTGTTATACAGTAATATTTGCATTGAGAATCCTACGTCAGGTCTCTGACGTCCATTCTTTATATTTATATTATTTGACTCTCCAGGTAATTTAACTGGTAAGGATTTCAAATGCTTTAGTAACAACTCACGCTTTAGCAATATTTTGAATTGTAGAAGCAGGAAGTCTCTTTTTTCGTCACAAAACTTTCAATATTGTTCATAGTATTTTATATACGTATCACTGTTGGGCCCTGGTGTTTTGCCTTCTAACAGTAAGCATTTATCATGTGTGGAGTAAGGCGAAAGAAAAGCATTTGTATCTTGCAAGGCAGTTAGTTCACTTTCCTTCCTTGAATGAATCAACCAGTTTCTGTTGTTAAAATGTAAACGCAAAGAAACGCACTAGTATATTGAGTAATTTGCCTCTATTCATTAGAACTCAGGGTGTCACCAGCTGCTGATAATAATAAATGTAGACTACAAAATGAGTGCTACTAGCTCTAATCTGAAGTGTTTATTTGTTAAGGTTTAGACAGTATCGAATAGGTGTCAACTTGACACAGACATTCTTTATCTCATATTGATAACAGGTGAGTACAAGTCACGTACATTGGTAAATTTGTCATTCTAGAGAAACTAGAAGATCTAGAGGTGATAACCACGAATTAGTCGAAGGAGGCAATGGAGACAGGATTTCAGGTGTAAAAGACAAATTGGGAGGAAAACAATCAACCAACGATGACAATCACCAATTGCCATCAACGAGAGAAATCTAAAGGAATTCGACTCATCCAGTTATCTATGCAACATCATTTCAACTACTGGACGTCAAAGACAGCAGGAATCGGAAAAGTAAGATTTACTACGCTCAGAAGAAGAAGAGGAAGCAATAAATGGATCTTCGACAGTAATATCAGATGAAGGCTTCTATATGTTTCAAATACTTGACGTACGCACCACCGAAAGCATGTTTAATAGACTTCACACTTTTACCAACAGCTGTATTTACTGGCTGGATAATACTAAAGATCAGGTGGCCAGCGAGAAAGGATTAACAGGACACAAGAAACGAACCAACTGAGAATCTATTGCTAACAAATATGCTGAAGGCGAATTGGATGCAGGTTGAGAAAACTGTTGAGTAGAATTCCCTAGGACGGAACCATAAAAGGGAAACTACGAGTACGAGTGATAAAATGGAGTAGGTCATGTGAAGAAGAAATGAAGGGCTGTTGGCGATCACGATGCCAGCTAAAAAATATAAGGAAGATTTGAGTAAAATGGAGATTGTATGAAGGATTTCATCATGAGCTGACATCAGTTAGAGAATCACTGGTAAACCTTCAAGGAGTACTGGACAATTGTTTAGTCTTAGTTTGGGACTGGCCCTATTCAGGCAATGACCTGGGTTTCTACTGGCAAGCCGTGACTAGTAGGGTACAGCAAGTTGAAGATGAGGCAGTAAATCATTGAAGAAGACATTGCGAAATGGTTGCGCTATGTCGTGAATTGGCAGAAGTTAGAATTCATGAGCTGCCATTGGATGGGGTACCAGTGGTTTAATGGTCTACGAGCTCGCTAGCCTTGTCACCAGAGGGTCCTGGGTCCGAACCCCGGTGGGTTCGTACTGCTGAAGAGTCCCAAACTAGGGCGGAACAGTTGTCCAGTACTCCCTGAAGGTTTTCCAGTGGTTCTCTGACTGATGTCATCTCATGATGAAATCCTCCATACAATCAAACAAAGTCCCTACAAAACCAATACTTAAAATGGAGATATGTTGCTGAAGCCGAATCTTCCACTCGGAACTGAAGGGAATACTCCTAATAATAATAAGATGGTTGAATACAGCGACAGTCGACAACGACTTTATTTGTTGACTGAATAAACTAATGAATGACGTAGCATTAAGGCGAGTTGGGATAGTGTTCCGCAGTTTTTCAGTTGTTCTGATTACGGCATAACTTGATTTGGTTGTTTAATTCTGATTTCATCTCTGTGGCTTTTTAACTAAATAAATGAAATTTGCATAGCAAAAGTTAGTGTACCGTGCAATAACTTGGTCAGACGAATGTATTCATTTGGCTATTATTTATTATATATATATATATATAATAAATAAATCAGGAAGTTGACAGGATGTATAAAAACACAGTAGGAGTGTTTTACGGTTCACGCTGTTACTGTTTTGTTGGTTGACTGGTTTTCAGACTCAAATTATTGTTGTTATCTCAAAAATATGGGGTGATAGGGAAATTTTTTTATTTGTGAGAAATATATTAGCACACTGGACTCAAATTCCTCTTTTTTCTTGATAACCTATTTTGTTTATTTAACTTCCTGAATAATAACTTTCAATATAAAACTGTAATAAATTTTTATTAGAATCACTGTAATAGAAAATTCCAGCTTGTTTTAGTCTTATGTCGTTAGGGTCATTCATATTTGTACACGGAGAAGATCTGTAGCCTTGGAAGGCGTCGCTGTGTATTCTGAGCTAGATAGTCATCAGGGAAGACAGTAGATTAGCTCCTTAGGAAGTTAGTCTTTTGCAGGACTATGAAAAGCCTGACGATTAAAGTATTCAGTTCAGAGAACCCAAGGACTTCATAAATTGTTGTTTAGTTCGATTTTCTAGATTTCCTGAGATGTCCAGTCTCTGTTGATAAATAAAAACTGACACCCATTGAGCAGGAGGTAGTTGTGGTGGCTCAAGTGGTATTGTGTGATGTTTCAAACGATGACTGGAGGGTTCTTGTCTCAGTGAAAACACTATCACTCACCGGGGATTGCAGGTATATCCAAGTGACGAGTCCTAAATGGGAGGAAATGCAAACCACAGACTCTGTGGCTAGACATTATTCACCAGATAACACCAAAAACATTTTACAGACTCATCGATCTATGCTCTAGTCACACTCATTCTTAACAACTCGTGGAATTAGATTCTTAAAGTATGTGTTTGTATCAAGTAGTGTTCTTTACATTCGATTTAGCAGAATTGAAAGAAAAATGGTAACTTAAAAATTCCCATTGAGTCATATCAAAGAAAAAGCGTTCAGAGAAGAATTACTCTTTTCGGTTATGGTATCACTTAGGCAACTACTTTATTGTCCATTTTCTATTAAAAAATGTGATTCCACGTAATTTGAAGCATTGGGCATGTATAAACACAGTGGATAACGAATACTGTTTATTCCCTTTTCTTGAAGGTTATGTGCTATACTTCAGTTCAGATATTCAACGTAAATCTTATCGCGGTTGATGAAAATTGTGTGCTTTTGAATGTCAGTATAAGATATACTTTACTTCTTTGATGGGATGATTTGTGTTGTTCTTAGTTCTTTCGCCGTCCATGCACATGGTCCGAGGTTCGATCCCCCGCCGACGCACACCTGATATCAATGGTCAGCCTGCCAAATTTGGGCTACCGATATCACATGCTGAAAATTTCATACTTGTACCACAATACTGTGTGGAATCAAGCTATAATAAAAAATTTTAAAAAGTACATTCTTCCGCAGTCAGTCAGGTGAAATGATTTTACACTTATTTATTTAATATTATTGTTCCCTTTAGTTCCAAGTGGGACATAGGGCTTCAACAACACGTTTCCACCTTGTCCTCTTCTCTGCCGTCCTCTTTAGCTGGCCCCGTGATTGCCCAAAGGGGCAAAAAGTTAAACTTTAAGCACCACTAACCAGCATTCAGCGAATGACTCTGAACGCACCAATCACATGGTGGGGGCACTTTTGGGTTTGGAATACACATATTTATGAAAAAAATTGCACAGAAACTGTATACAACTGTTACATAGGATACCTTTCTCTCATATTTGATAAAAACATCTCCCAGGCTCCGCAATTAAACTACAAACCAGCTCAGCGAACACAACTAATTGCAAAAAAATCTCCCAATTTAGCAAAGAAGTATCGATTTAAACGTCACACCATATCCTATAGATATATTCCTCTCAATGACTATAAATAGCATCCTTTCGAGATCCATTTACAGCCCTAATCTTCCTTTCCAATCTTCGCCAATAGAATCCTATAGAACTGAAGTGTATCTCTGTAATGGGATCCACAAAATCATTAAAGTGGTTGACTCCGTGGTGAACGTATCCAAGGGATAACAGGGACCTACAACCTTTCCACTCATCTGTGTGCATTATAGATCTCTGTTTCACTACTCGAGTGATAATAGGTACTAAGATAGTTGACTTTCTATCTGCTATCCTTTCGACGAATCCTTTGTGTAGAGAGGTATCATATAAACCGATCACCCAAACATTATTCGCTCATTCTCAACCACGGTTGTACTTTTTCTTTAATATGACAGTTTCATCCACATGTACGAAGATACCTCCTCCTCTCAATAACGAAGTAAGCCTCTACATTTTCCAGGATGCGATATCCCTGCAGTGCTGGCACCAATGAACTACTGATATGGGACTATTTTCAGTTTCAGCAGATGTACCTCTCAGAGGCTGTTTTGAAACCCAGTAATTACAAATATACAAAATCTGGGTTATGGACAAGTGAGGCCTGGCAAAAAATGTTTCTACGAAATATTAGAACCATCAGCTTACCTTCTCTGACACCAACTCGTCTCAAACAAATGGCACAACCATGCACATATCCATCAACCGACCTGCTGAAGCTTTTTATGCTCATGACGCCTCCACATGAACAAATCCTTTCTTCCCTTATCAACCCCACATCCAAGCGATACTGGAAAACCTTATCCTCCCCAAATTGCAGTCGCAACTGCATGAGAGCAGACATTTGAGTCGAAACAAACGGAAAAGAAGATTCAACTCATGTGGATGAAACTCATTGGACCATTCTAGGTCAATGGCCTGGTCACACTACATTCGCAATTAGTGGTGCTTAAAGTTTAACTTGGCCCCATATGTCCTCTCTCATGTCCTCCTTACACGATCTCTGTCATGTTACCCTCAGTCGTCCCACTAATTGTTTCTCATTCAAGTTCCACTCAAAAGCCTGGCTCCGAAATCATTCGACGTCCTCCTCAGCGTGCGCCCAACCCACCTCTACTTTCTTCAGCATATTTTTTGAACAGTAGGTTTTTGGCTGGTTCGTTCCCAGAGTTTCTTGATTCCAATTCTTTCTGGTTGGCGGCAACTTGATCTTCACTACAGAGCCTGAGAAGACGGATGTTGACAAAAGTTTGCAGTTAATTGCTGCAAATGCCTTTCGTGAAACTCAGTACAAGTTTCTGACCCATACAGAAGAAGAGACTGACCTACCATTATTATTATATTATTATTGTTCCCTTGGGTTCCTAATGGAGCATAGGGCTTCAACTGCAAGTTTCCACTTGCTTCCGTCTTCTGCTGTAATTTTCACTTTCATCCATGTTAATCCATACTGTTTCAGTTCCTCATTACACGATCTCCTCCATGTCACCCTTGGACGTCCCCCTGGCCGCCTCCTTTTCAGGTTCCGCTCCAGGGCCTGACGCGCGATGTCACCCAGCGGCCTCCTCAGCGAGTGTCCTATCGATCTCCACTTCCTCCTGCATATTTTTTGAGCGATTGGTTCTTGTTTTGTTTGTTCCCATAGTTTCTTGTTGGTTCCTGTTCTTTCCGGCCATCTGATCTTCAGTATAGAGCGAAGACAGCTGTTGATAAAGGTCTGCAACAGGCTGTTGGAAATATTCTTTGTGACGCTTCAAGTTTCTGATCTGTATAGAAGAACGGATCAGAAAGGACCTGCCATTGGTGTTGAAAATCTGAATCTTTAGAACAACAACAATATTGTTTTCAATTAGATCTCATCAGGCTTAACTCTAATATATATAAGTTTACAAATAAAATTCAAATATAAACCAATCATGGTGTTTTGTCTATAGGATAATACGATGGTGAATATAAATTGTGCAATTAGTCATAATAGTAGTAATGATAATAATAATTATAGTAATAATAGAAATGGTCTTATCAATAATAAGGATGAAAAAGTGAGGCAATCTGTGATAACACGAATAATGAAAAACAGCATGATTAAACAAACAACTGTTCAGGTGGAAGTAGTCGATAAAGGCTAGTAAAAACAAATGAACCGATTAAGTAATGTTAGATTGTAAGGGAAGGGAATGAAACACGTCTATAATGAAGATAAGATTAAGGGATGATAAGAAAGGGGATGAAAATACAAACAAAGGGTGGTGTAGAAGTTATTAGTTGGTTACGTCCTAATAGGCCAAGGGAGGGATAAAGGCTGTACGAACTTTTTTTGAACACATAATTTAGGTTTAATAGTTCGAATGCCTATTGCCTCAGCTGTGTGTAGTAGACGAATACGAAGTCTATTGGAAAGATTCGGTGGGATACGATGAATCACTTTGAAAGCTCTCGTTTTCTCAATTACATGACCACTATCAATTAAGTGTGACAAAATTGAGCTACGGATTGTTTTTGTCTGTCCTTTGTCAAGTCACGATGGGAGATGCTCACTAACACGTTGGCTAAGCTGTCTAGTAGTACGCCCAATATAACTGTCACCGCAGGTGCAGTTGAATTGATAAATACACATAGATGTGGCAAAACTATCAAGCTTATCCTTCGTTTGCGTCGCAATCATTCGTCGGCTAGAGAATGACAAACATAGGTGTGCTGCGTAAAATGTTCTTCGTATACTCCTTGAAAGTCGTTGGAATAGAATCTCACTTGATAAGTCACCATTAAATTGTAACTTAATAAATAGAGGTTTCTTACGTGCCGTCAGAGTCTCCGGTTTTTTCTCCGATGTTTTCATATGTTTCTTTATGAAATTACTCGGATGAATCTGAATCTTGTTCTGTTTGCTGACTGAGTGCAGAAGGTTTCCAAACTGGTTTCAGGTTGATGAAAGCGTATGTTTTGCTTTTCCGATTCTGCCTAACTTTACTGTTTTCATCCGTTCCGTCTGTGGTTGAAACAGTGCTTCCTAGATAAGTGAAGTCAGGAAGTAACCTTTATTAAATCTCTCCCATTGATGGTGACTGCTGGTGGTTTTTTTGCTCTTAGCTGGTAATCTAACTTGCCTACAAATAATCCCCAAATAATACCAAGTAGGCAAAACGTCAGTGAGGCAGCTAATCCAAGTAAGGCATTTACTTTTTCCCCATAATGTCTAGCGGCTACATCTTTCCCACCATTATATTCATTAATTCAAAATCAATTCACACACACACAGTTACTTTTATCTTATCTAACTATTTCTCATATTCACATTCAACTATTTTTTTTATGTGCATATTTCAGGTTTACCAAACTCTGGTAAAAATACCTTCTGTAAACAGTTACGTCTTCATTTTGGTGATGGTTTTCCCACGTCGTATCGTATTGAAATGAAACCCACTATACTGGCCAATACAACAGATGCTATTGCGCTTGTCTTGGAATACATGAAAGACTCTGGTTTAATATTTTCAGATATCTTAGCTCATGTATGTTGATAGACAATTTTCTAATAACTGTCAAGTTTGTCTTTAGTTTTTTTGCGTGTGTGTTAGCATCCTCCTTGTTATATGTTTTTTCGCTTAATTTTCTCACACAGGAAAGCTTTTAATTGATATGAGAAAAACTTAGGGTATTTTACAGTTAGCTTGTCAGGGTTTCTGCGTTCTGTTTGACTAGACTCAACAATGTTGATGATATTCAGATATCGGCTTGCTGGGTTTTGACTGGTTCGATCGCAAACTCATGTCATTTGGAGAACCATTAGGAAGACCAGATAGTATGGGATAGTGGCTAAATGGTCTACGAGATCTCCTTGTACCTGAAAGGTCTTGAGTTCGAATCTCAGTGGACGCGTAATGCTGCGAAGTTTTAGACTGCGACTAAACAGCTGTTCAACACTGATGATTGTTATTCATTTGATGCATCTATCACATGGCATTCTACACTGAAAGATATGTGTACGTTTCAAGGAACACGTGTTTTCACTTTAGGTAGACGATATGAGTAAAATTTAGTTGCTTTCCATGGAAGAACTAAGTGCATAAAAGAGGAAAATGTTTTGATAAGAGGCGGAAAACTGGAAACATAATGCAGCATACTGAATATCGAATGCCGCTTGTATGATTATGATTATTCATCCCTTGGTTTCCAAGTAGAACGTAGGGTTTCAGCAACATGTCGTCATTTCACTCTGTCATCTTCAATCTTTTTAGTTAGCTCAATAATTGTACATTAGGTTCTTTTTTCTCCATACACGCTCTTTGCACGACCTGTGTCCTGTCTATTTCTGTTTTCTTCGGTCTATTCGTTGGGCAATAGATTCTTGATCGATTCCTTGCCATACTTCATTATTTGTTATCCTACCTAACTAGCCATGTGATCTTCAGCACTGGACGAAAATAAGTACTGAGAAAGGTCTGCAATAGCTTCTTGGAAACACTTTCAGTGACGCGACATGTCTCCAAATCCTTTAGAAGAGCTGACTTGAGATCGGTGTTGAAAATTCGGATATCCTTCCTAAAGCTAAGTGTGGCAAGTTTCCATAATGTTTTCAGATTAATAAGGGTTTACGTTGCTTTTCCCATCCTTGCTTGCTCTGATATCCTCATTGGTGACTCCTGTAGTTAAATGATGCTTCAAACAGATATAATTAGTGAAAGAAATAATATCCTTCAAACTTCTCCTTTGACATCATTCATCATTCCCCTATTGTTACGTATAAGTTGAAGGATCGGATAGGATTTCGGGGATGTCGAATTCTAATGGTTTATTCATAAGTATTTATTGAGTGAGAGATGAGCAACAGAGCGTGAGATAGTTCGAGATTGTAAAATACGTATATTTATTAAACTAACACACTTTAATTAAGTACTATATTCAAACAGGGAGTATTGGACAGCTGTTTCATGCTAGTTTGAGAATCATCGGCAGTGCGTACCCACTAGGGTTCGAACTCAGGATGTTCCGGCTACAAGGTAAGCTCGTATACCATTCAGCCACTGTGCGTCAGTGGCACAGCTGTAGAACGCTCGCCGATCATTCTTGTGATCCGGGATTCGATCACCGGCTGACGCACTCATTTACCTCGCTAAGCCAGGAATAAGACTGGTAAAGAGAGAAGGTTAGGCATGAGGTGGCTAGCAACCCCATCCCGTAAAAATAAACACTACAGTTACCGGAACTTCAAGCCTCTAACGTGAAGCCCTATGTTCTACTGGGAACGTAAAGGAATGAAAGAAAATATTCAAACAATTTGATAAAGGTTGGTCTGTTATCGGTCAAATATCTAAATTATTTTATTACTAATGAAACTTTTCTTACAAACAACTAATTGCTGTATCACCTACTTGATAGACGACCTGTTAGTCTCTCGACCTTAGTTTTCATACATAAAATGTCAGCATATGATGAAATTTAGCTTCTCCTCAGGTGTAGTATTTACATTATCAATAGAATGGCATTCATCAAGTTGGAAGTAATCTTCAGGGAGCCCTGAACTTAGTTTACATGCTTATTCGCACTGGTCAACAAGGAGTATCTGAAAATAAAAGGGAATTTATGTTCCCACTGAGATTCGAACCCACGTCACTCGGTACCAGATTCAAGGTATTTGGCCAACTGGACTGAAGGAAAAACTCTTGAGGCCACGACGTCTCTGACTTGGACAATCAGTGACGCGGGTTCGAATCCCAGAGGGAACATTCATCAACTTATTATTGCATTTCAAAATTTAAAGAAAAATAAATGCCAGGAGAGGCACACATTATTTACCAAGTAAAATATGCTGGAGTTTTCTGAATAGTTTCGAGGTAAGAACATACTTAAGAAAAGGCGACACTGAGAAAATAAATTGTCTTTTTTTAATTTTTTTCAGTAATACTCATCATCAACTAAGTAAGAGTAGTTTGGTGGATAGTGACTAGCACGGGAATCCAGGATAGGCATTTTGTCCTAATTGAGACTCATCAGTCAGTTGGCTGTATCTGAAATCCTCAGTGATTGATGCTGTTTACACCGATGCTTGAAACCAGTACACATCGTTTGAAACGCCAAAGCGTTATCCACTAGACCACTTGAGCTATGAAAGCCACTTCTTTTGCAGCTGGTATCAGTAGTCTAGTTGACAACACTATGAGGTTTCAAACGATCGGTACTGATTTCAAACCTCTGTGAGAACACCATCACCCACTGGGGATTACGGGTCCCAAGTAGGACGAAATGGCAATCCTGGATTCCACTGCTAGTCGCAATCCAACAAATTACTTCAACTACTCAATTCCTCAGACATCAACGAAGCATCTGCACAAGGAGACGACATGTCAATAGAGGATGAACACTTCGGTCTAATCAATCAACAGGAAAGTCCGAAATGAATTCAACTCTATAAGAGGTTGTATCTAGAAAAAATATATCTCAAGGCGAATAAAGTGGTATTCACATTCTGGCTTGAAAGCCTATGCTAACTGGTTTTCTAGCTTCTTTTTATCTGGTCTAATTCAGTGTCAATCATCTGTAAACACCACCTTGCTTACCCAACCTCTTATTTATTCGGTAGGAATTCTAGGGGAACTGAGTAAAGCAAAAACAAAGAGACTTATGAAAACTTTTCTTTGAGCAAATACACTATGGGTCGTTTATGTTGAAAATAAGATCCAAACATCATTTTACATTTTGCTGTTATAAATCTTGGTGTGAACAGAGCTACTGTACGTGGTGATTAGCGATTGATTACGTTAAATAACGTAACTCCGAGTTGTTGGAATAAGGAAACGGAATTTGTAAATTCCATGAAGGCACAAAACATTGAAAGTTTCATTTCGAATCACTTAAACCACCCCAAAATGCTCACTGAACAGAGAAAACGAGTTAAAATCGCTACAGTTTATCGAAAACTTATTATTATTGTTGTTGGAAATGAGTAACACTTGATTTATAACTCAAGATATCTATCCACTAATGGTAACACATCTCACATTAAGTGATCTACGCAATTCACAATGGTGTGTTTCACTTCTGTGTACTAGAATGAAACTCCTAGAAATGCTGCCAGATATATGCATTATTGCATCCTGTGGAAGAAGACTCAGAATTAACGCTTTCATTAGTAGATTTTGTTGATTAAATTTCCGAGTATTGGTTTTGTAGGGATTTTGTTTGATTGCATGGGGGATTTCATCATGAGGTGACATCAGTTATAGAACTACTGGAAAACCAGAAAGGAGTACTGGACAGCTGCCTAGTCGTAGTTTGGGACTCTTCAGTAGTACGCACACACCAGGGCTCGAACTTAGCAGCTCTTGGTTATAAGGCGAGCTCGTAAACCATTGAGCCAGTGGGACCAGATCCAATGGTCCTTGAATTCTAACTTCTGCTGATTCACGACATAGCGCGACCATTTCGTGATGTCTTTTTTGATGAGTTACTGCCTCATCTTCAACCTGCTGTACCCTACTGGTCACGGCTTCCCACTAGAACCCCAGGTTAACTGTCCAGTACTCCCAGGTTTTCCAGTGGTTCTCTAATTGATGTCAGCTCATGATGAAATCCTCCATGCGATTATATTTCCGTTAGTGAGAATGAATAAAACTGCTAGATTTTATCCTAGATTTCAGAATAACTAGAAGCTATTATCACCCAAGATTAAAAGCAGAAGTTACATTTCATGAACTGCTGCATTTATTCCTAGTGGCTGACCTCGTAACGTGAAAGCTGATGGTTCGACTTTTATTAGAGTCGTGGGTGCTCACTGTTCAGGAGTTCCAAACAACTCTAGAATGCCCCTTAGTTCCTAATGGCTCAATTTTTGATTTGATATGAAATCAGACAGATCCACGCAAATCAAATCTTGAAGTTCAAAGGGTGGGAACTTAGTGCGTTTCCTGCAAATTCAGTACTTCCTGTTTTCATACATTTGGTTCCCTTGATAAATTTTGATAGAGAAAGAAAGACCAGATTTGCAGCCTGCAAATCTGGACTTCCTGTTTTATTGAAATTTATCAATGGGAACCACGTGTATAACACTCACTCTGTTGCTTTTGTCACCATCCTTTTTCATTTCTCATTAGTTTCAACTGCTGTTTATTTTTGTTTTCGCTTTCATTTTAGAGACTTCAAGAGTATCTGGTGAATAGTCGATCTGAGAATGGATGGATCACTAAAGATTTTATACTCTTCGAACCAGAGTGTAACACCAATAATAACAACAATTACAGTGTTTTAAAACGTCAACAGTCACCAACAAAAGCTAAACGATCAGAGCCTATGGGACCCAGATCTGGTTCTAATTATCAAAGTCATAGTTCTTCACTGGTGAACCACTGCTCAATGATAATGACCAACACAATAAGTCCTGAGCTGGCAGCAAAAAAGTCTTTTATTTCCCCTGAGCCGACACAACCGGGACTAAATGATGCTTTGAAAGTTGCCAACAATTCGAATAGTGAATCATGCGGTTCAAGTTTTCAGTTGCCTCTAAACCCTGTGAACAATACTAACGCAAACTGTAAAAATACAGAAAGTATTACAGATTCAATTGTTGAAAGATTTCTACACTATGTCGATGAACACAACTCCATACCACCATCAGTTTTGAAGAAGTTTGAATCAATTATTGATGTAAAGTCACTGGACAACTGGCAGAGTATCATTCAGGATAAAGCTACTTTACATCATCTAATCCATATTCTACTACAGAGTGGTATTGACAATTGGTCATCGTTTCTTATGCAGGGTTCAACACCACCACCAGCTCCGACCACTTTACCGCCAGTCTCTGTTGAAGATGAACTGTTAGACTATATAGTGACGAGTGAAAGTCTTGACACTTCAGAAGAAGGTGATGAGGATTATGATGAAGAAGAGAAAGATGGTGTTGACGAGGGTAAGGTCAAGGATAGAGAAAGTGAGTGGACGACGTCGTCGAATTCCTTGGAGAGGACTCTTGTTAAGAGTAATTCCAGTACAGGAGAAATCTGCGATATGGCCAATTTCAGTGATGAGAACGGTGATGAGAACAATGAAGATAGTGAACAAGATGACTGGGATAATTGTATCAATCATTTGGCTGATCTTAGGACAGGAGATGGCTTAAATACTAAAACAAATTCAAGATTATTAAATAATAACAAGCTAAAAAATAAAGGTGAGTCTCAATTATTTGTCACTTAGTACTATCCAGATATATAACCTCAATAAGCCCGTAGTAAGCCTGTAGTAGGGTGTGTGTGGTTAGGAACGTCACCCCAGGAGGATCAAGCCACCGCTGATGAAATTTCAAAGCTCGACAGTGAAGTCATATGTTCCACTCAAAATGTAAAGGTTCCAAGAACGCTACCATTGTGCTGGTCAAGCTGAATATTGCACCTAGGCATATGCGAGGTGAAATTGAAAGAAAAGGTCAGATTAAGAGGGGCCAGTTGTTCTCGTAATTCAGGCTTCATAGAACTCCCACCATTGTGAAATCCAGCAAATGACTTTAATGCCTAGCGTATATAGCTGCAATCTCTAAACTTCAAGAGACTTGTAAATGTGACTATGTTGCAAGATTGTAAACTGTTTTAAATGCCTTACTAAGTGTTCTTTATTTGTATACTCTTTCCTTATATGCATATTTTCGTACAAAAACTCTTAATAAATACTATGGGTTTTAAAAAGGTGTCTGATTTATCTGTCTGCCACGAGCTAACCGAAATTCATTCTCTGTCAGGATATCTTGATAAGTTAAACTTTAGGCACCACTAACTGCCAATCAGCGAATGACCTTGAATGGTCCAATGAGTTTCATCCACGTGAGATGAATCTTTTTTTACGTTTGTTTCGAGTCAAATGCCCGCTCCAACGCAGTTGCGCTTGCAATTTGGTGAGGATAGGGTTTTCCAGTGTTGTTTGGATGTCGAGTTGATTAGGAAAGAAAAGATTTGTTCATGTGGAGGTGTCATGAGTATAAAAAGCTTCAGCTGGTCGGTTGATGGACATGTGCACGGTTGTGCCATTTGTTCGAGACGAGTTAGTGTCAGGGAAGGTAGGCTGATAATTTTAATATTTTGTAGGAACATCTTTTCCCAGGTCTCACTTGTCCTTAACTTAGATTTCGTATATTTGTAATTACCGGGTTTAAGACAGCCTCTGAGAGGTGCAGCTGATGAAACCGAAAATACTCCGACACCAACAGTTAGTTAGGATCAGCACTGCAGGGATGTCGCATCCTGGAAAACGGAGAGGCTTACTTCATTATTGGGAGGAGGAGATATCTTCGTACATGTGTATGAAAATGTCATATTAAAGAAGAAATACAACCGTGGTCGAGAACGAGTGAATAATGTTTGGGTGATCGGTTCATTGATAGCTCTCAACAGAAGGGATTCGTGGAGTGTATGGCAGATATAAAGTCAAGTACCGTAATACCTATTATCACTTGGGTGATGAGACAGAGATCTATAATACACACAAAGATGTGTATAAAGGTAAAAACTCCCTGTCATCCCTTGGATACATTCACCACAGAGTGAATTTGTGAATCCTATTACAGGGACACACACCAATTATATAGAAGCTTTTGGGGAAGGCCAAAAAAGAGGATTAGTGGTATACATGGATCTTAGAATGATGTCATTTATCGTCATTTGTATGAATATATGTACAGAATGTAGTGTAACTTTCCAATTGATACTCCTATGTTAAACTGCGTCTGTCATATATGAGAAAAAGATGTCCTACGTAACAGTTTAATGCGTTTTTTTATAAATATATGTATTCCACAACCAAAATTGTCTCTCTTCATGTGATTGGTTCGTTGTAGGTCATTCTCTGATTGGTTGTTAATGCTGCTTAAAATTTAACTTTGCCTAAATGGATATAAACATTGAGCTTCCATGAAATATATACATATACAGTATCAGGAGGCTTATTTATTGTTTCTAAGTATTGACAATTGTAAGACAAATCACAAAAATGTGATGGAGGTTCGAATCTCACAGGAAGATATCAGTTTGTTGAAGATTGCAGATACGCCTTACTGACGATTTCCAAGGCTTCCTACCGATCGCCGTTAAGTCAACTAAGACCTATTCAAAGTGCACCGAATCGTGTGGCTTACAAACCATCACGGAAATGTGACTGATTTAATTCAGCCTGCACTAGCTTCAGGAACTGCAGACATGAAATTGGTTACACTATACTGACCAATAAGTGTTTGTGCCTAATGTCTTCGATCCGTTTATAGTCACAGTAGTGTGTTCAGCAGGGTCAAAAGATTTGTTGTCGATGTCGTTCTTTGCCAAAGGAACGCAGGTCAAAAAAGGACTAATTGTTGCATGCTATGCATAGATTATTAAATTTCAAAACGAAAACATATTTTCAATATTCATCTTTTATTGAGAATAAATTTCTAAGTAAAGCGTCGTTTTTCCAACCAAAACACTGATTTCATTGAAAGTATTCGCCGTTACTTTAAAATGATCACTTAATATACTCTTCATGTATATATATAGTTAGCAAGATGGCTTTTAAAATCATCCTTACTTATTTGAAGTAGTCTATTGGATGGTGATTAGCAGTAGAATTCGTCAAGGTGCGCACTCCGTCCTATCTGGGACACGTAGGCCGGTTGGATACACCTGCATTCCACAATGTGTGATGGTTTTCCCACCGGGGTTCGAACCCAGCACCCATCTCTCAAGACTCCAAAGCATTATCCACAAGACTACTTGGGCAAAGAGAGCTACCACGTCTTGTGCAACGGGTATCAGTTATCATTTATTTGTAGCTCAGCTTGAACTTTTCCCATGATTAATTAGACCGAAGTGTTCGGCCTCTGTTGACAGACATGTCAGCTCCTAGCGCAGACACTTCAGCTACGTCTTGGGATATAACGTGAAGTAATTTCATGAATGGTGACTTTAAGTTAAATTCTCAGATATTGTTGTATTATTATTACTGCTCCCTTGGGTTCCTAGTGGAACATAGGGCTTCAACTGCACGCCTCCACTTGTTTCTGTCTTCTGCTGTACTTTTCACCTGCATCCATGTTAATCCATACTGTTTCAACTCCTCTTCACACGATCTCCTCCATGTCACCCTTGCACCGACGAACCACTCGCCACTTCCCTTTCGGATTCCACTCCAGGGCCTGACGCGCGATGTCACTCAGAGGCCTCCTCAGCGAGTGTCCGATCCATCTCCACTATCTCCTGCATATTTGTTGGGCGATTGGTTCTTGTTTTACTTGTTCCCATAATTTCTTGTTGGCGATTCTATCCGGCCATCTGATCTTCAGTATAGAGCGAAGACAGTTGTTGATAAAGGTCGGCAACCTGTTGGAAATATTCTTTGTGACCCGCCAAGTTTCTGATCCGTATAGAAGAACTGACTGACTTGACGTTTGTATTGAAAATCCGAATTTTGTTGTTGATGCTGAGTGATGAAGATTTCCAGATTGGTTTCAGGTTGATGAATGTGTTTCTCGCCTTTCCCAGACATTGTTGAGGCAAATTGAATTCAACAACATCTTTAACTATGTTACCGTCTATCTTTCTAGCCTACAAATAAATAACGTGTCGTTTCTTTCAAACAGAATAGACAACTAAAGGTTATTTTGCCATCTGAAGTGTGTCAAATTGCTGACGGAGTAATTCTCAAGTGAGAAGTACCAATCAGCGAATACCATCACATTAGATCGACACACCAGTCCCCCTGATTAGTCTAATTAATAATTCTCGAATGAATTTGCAGGACAAAAAGAGCTAATTTTTTTTAATTTCATGACTTCTATTCACCTGCTGACAGTTCAAAAACCTTATAATTTATCATGAATAGATGGAAATATACACCATACTTCAAAACTGTTTGAACTCATTGGTTATTTAATAACTCTTAGCACTGTAATGGAAGGTGAGGTATAAGTAAAAGGCAGTTACCAAATGAAGAAGGGTGTGTTGGCGGTTCATTGGTAGAATGTTCGCCAATCACGGACATGGTTTGGATTCTGCTTCTGTCAGTACCACTTCTAAACTTCACCTGATTTGTTGTAAGCCTCTTAAGGAGGTAAGATTGGGCGTAGCACTAGCCATCTCACTCCGTTAAAAAAAGCAACTGTAGAGCTGCTGAAAATTCAGAGCAAAAGCTTGAAGCTCTATGTTTCATGCGGAATGCGAAGGAATGTAAAAACTGAACAATCAAAGCTTATTTATACAAAATATAATGGAAATGATGGAGAGAAGAGGGTAGGAGTTAATGGGTCTGCTAGACAAGAATAAAATTACTGAGTTAGTCAGCTATCAAGTTATTCAAAGCCTAATAATAAGTACAGCTCAGTGAGTGAGGTACATTCACTATCTTCTTGCATAAAGAGGTCAGGTTGGAATCATTTCCTAGCAGTGAGTTGTGTAAACACAAGGTAACCCAAGTTTTCTCTGAATGCTGATTATTTTTAAGGCTAGAATGATTTCACCTTACTGTACGATGTCAACTAAGTGCTTAGCTATTTTGCATTTGCAAACAATTTTCTACTTTTCATACGAAGACTATTAGGAATATTCTTAGAAAATGTAGTAGATGTTTTCCTTTCAGTCTCTCTTATGTAAATGGAATTGAAGTTGACATAAGTGGGATTGTTTGTTTACGTAATCGTTTTACGCCAGCTTACCATATCATTTTAATCCCACCCAAACATCCCCCTTTCCAAACTTTCCATCATATTATGTAAACATAAACTCTGGTTATTGAGTTAATAATTGTCTTTTAAAGATACCTCTTATTACTAGCCTAAGAATTATTGGGCATGTAGCATGTGCTACTGACAAGATTTATCAGTAGTGTATAAAGAAACAGTCCCGATTAGCAAAGTAATAAAAAGCGGAGAAATACATTTGACGTCAAAGAGTATTGCGACAAAACATAACAGGCACAAAAAGAAGAAAAAGAAACAAAATACGAAGGGTGGAATAAGCTCAACGCTAGAAGGAGAGACTTAGCAGAGGAATGTTTATTTGCAATCAATCAAATCCCTACAAACCAATACTTGAATATCAATGAGATGGTCGCTAGCAACTGGCCCTATTCAGGTAGGTAGTTACCTGGGGTTCTAGTGAAAAGACGTGACCAGTAGGGTACAGCAGGTCGGGCGTGAGGACAAATACTCGCCGA